CGTCTAACTGAAATTGTTTTATTCTTAGTTGAATCTAAATAATCTATAATTTCTTGATGTCCAGGTTGTTTGGCAGGATCTTTAAATGCTGTATAAGCTAAATTTAATGTAATTAATTTTGTATGATTAAATAATGGTAGAAAAAAATCGAATATAGTATCCATATAATTTTCACGAATATTGAGACAAGATAAATTTGGTACACCATTAAAAGCAATCGGAGAGATATAAGAGATTTTGTTGTTCTCGAGATTGATACTTTTCACGTGGTCGCTTATGATAAAATTATCATTTAATATTTCTAAACCCGAATTGACAAATTGAATAATATCTTCTTTCATATTGTTACATTTATCCATTGGTTCATCAAAGCGAAAACTAAGATTTTCCTCAAATTTTTCCGAATCTGATGATATCGATATGGCAAGTAAACATTGAATAATTCCTGTACTCATCAAAACCAATACAGTAATAGATAGATTTAAATTCCACATGATGAATACGAAAGATGACAAAAAAATGACTACAATTAGAAATACCTATAAAAAAAAGAAAAAAGAAGAATAAGTTAAATAAATAATTACACAAAAGAATAGATGCAATATGGTTGGGAATATAGAAAAGTTTAAGATCGTGAAGGGAGAATAAAGGAAGACAAAAAGATAGAAAGGAAAAGTAGTAGTTAATATTAGAAGAAAAAAAAGTCAGAAGCTTGTATATTCATTTTTACAAACATATTTAATATTAATTCACAATTATGAATAAAATGTATTTACCTGTATAAAACGAATAATCAAATTTCGTGTTCTCTTGTGTTTAATAACTTGTCACTAATAAAATGAATACAATGTGTTAAACATGGCTTACTAAAAATTAGTCTTAAGATTAATATTAAACTTTAATTTATACAATCTTTATATGTGTGAGTGAAATTGGGTCTTGATCAACTAGTCTTTTCACTATTTGATTAGCTATTACTCAATTAGATATACAAACTCATTTGTGTATTTATGTAACGTTTGAACTTTTCTTCAAAATTCGGTTAGCTTCTTCAAACCTTAACATGACCTATTTTATTTGTTTCCTTTGTCACATATCGCTGTTCGTTAGATTAGTTTTTTTTTTTTTTTTATATAACTAGCTCGTTATTCATAGAGATATTTCTATCAAATTTAAATTTACAAACACAAATATTATATTTTTCAACCATATGTCAAAAAAATTATCAAAAAGATAAAGTGTATACATTTATTGAGAAAAACAAATTCATCAAAGATCAGCTGTTAGCCTAATGTCCTAATTATGAAAGTATTAAAAGTGCAATTGCACTTTTTAAACATTAATAGTATTATATCCTTTATGGTGTCATTATTAATTATATAAACGTTGACAATGTTTTTTTTTTTTTTTTTATTTATCCATACAGATTACAATATAAATTGTAAACTAATAACTCACGTATAATTTTTACTCTTCAATCAAATATTATTTATTAAAACTCACGTAATATATTAATTTATTCGTTTATTATAATATCTATTTTAATGAATAATAATAATTGTAGATTTTTGCTAAAAAAAAATAATGTTTCTTATAAATGAATAAATTTTTGTTTAATTTAATATACGAAATTTGTCTACATTGTACATGTAGAATTGTTTACTGGTGATAAATGAAGTTGAACACTTAAGGGCAAATTCTTTAAAGTTTCAATATCGGCCCGTTTAAAACAATGATCTCCTAGAACTAAATTATTTAGAGGAGAAGAAGTATATATAGACATGCTTTCAATGCTAGAAAAAGGGTTTGATTTTAAATTAAGATAGCGCAATCCTATCAAGGTGTTCATCCATGAATCAGGAAGCTTAGTCAGACGATTTTCTGCAAGATCAAGTTTTTCTAACATCTTTAAGTCTAGAAATGCATCCTTATCGATTAACGCGATAAAATTTCCTCGCAAATTTAACTTCCTTAAGTTTTTCATATTTGTAAACAAATTTGACGTAATATTATCAAGCTTATTATAAGCAATCGATAGATCCGTCAGAGAAACGAAAGATTCTAAAAATAATATTGAATGAAGAAAATTTCGATCTAATGATAAACGTTGTAAAGATTCGGGACTTTTGAATAAATCTGCCTGAATGATTGATAAATTGTTTGACGATATATCTAAATCAACGATTTTTCCACTGTCAAAGGAAGGAAATATTTCAGCAAAATTATTGCATTTGCGCATAGACAATATTTGTAAATTTGGATATAAATTAGTAAATGCAAAATTCCATACGAAATTATTCTCGCTTATGTATAATCCACAAACATTTCTTGGAAAAGATGTTACATCAACATTGTCGCGGTTTCTTTCCAAATATAAATATTGCGTTGACAGAGGTATACGACTAAAGAAACCTTTTCTCAATGCATTATCTGACAGATAAATGTGAGTCAAATTAGGAAATGATGAATTGAGATACCTTGGTAATTCGCATAAACGATTGTCGCTAATATCTAAATGTGTAACATTAGGTAAGAAAATGAATGATTTTAATACAATTTTCTTTTTTGGTTCTGAAATATCTGGACACTTATAATCGGTGAAATTATCTTGATATGTTGTATGAGCTAAATTTAATTTTTTCAATAGTGTATGTTTAAATAATGGTAGAAAAATTTCAAATATATTTTCTATAGAATTATGACGAATATTGAGACAAGACAAATTTGGAACACCTTTAAAAGCATTCGGAAAGATATACATTATTTGTTTGTCCTCGAGATTCATAGATTTCACACTATTGCTAACGACGAAATTTTCTCTCAATATTTCGAAATTTTTTTTATCAATATCTACAATCCCGTATTCTGGATCGTCACAATTGTCCATCAATTCTTCAAACTTCAAACTGAGATTTTCTTCGAATTTTTCCGGAGAGGTTGATATAGATGTACCAAGTATACCATAAATAATTCCCATACTCATAAAAACCACCACAATGATAGACATATTTAAATTCCACATGATGAATGCGATCTGTAATTATACAGTAAATTTTGCTTATTTTTTTTGAATAATTTCATAAAGATTAATATTAAAAATAAGATGATAATATAGGAACAACGAGAGAAATTAATACAGTACAAGAAATATATAAGAAAATAATGTATAATATTATTCTGTCGTATAAAAGGAGATTTTATTTTAATCTTATCTTTAATCCCAACGATATTATTTCTAAATGATCTGAAGCCTAATAAAAAAGGGCAAGAAAGCAATTTTCAGAGAAACAAAAAGGGCAAGTAGCATTTAATACTTGAAGGAACAAAAGTGAGAAGCATGTACAGCATAACTTTTATATAAATATTTCATTTTTACAAACATATTTAATATTGATTTACAATTATGAATAAAATGTATTTACCTGTATAATACGAATAATCAAATATTTGTATTCTCTTGTGTTTAATAACTTGTCACTGATAAAATGAACACAATGTGTTAAACACGGCTTACTAAAAAATAATCTTAAGATTAATATTAAACTTGAATTTATACAATCTTTATATGTGAGTAAAATTGGATCTTGATCAACTAGCCGTTTCACTACTCGATTAGCTATTACTCAATTAGATATACAAACTCATTTGTGTATTTATGTAACGTTTGAACTTTTCTTCAAGATTCGGTTAGCATCTTCAAACCTTAGCATGACCTGTTTTATTTGTTTTCTTTGTCATATCGCTGTTCGTTAGATTAATTTTCTTATAGCTAGCTCGTTATTCATAGAAAGAATTATATCATATTTAAATTTATAAATAAAATTAATATATTTTTCAACCATGAGTCAAAGTTATCAAAAAGATAAAGTCATGCATTTATTGAGAGAAACAAATAACTTTAAATTAAATGTATTTAGCTATTTAATATATGTTAGATGAAAGAACTGTCTTTTCTTTTCAAATGAAAACTTCTTTAGAATGGGTGAGATTTGAAAAAATAAAACGAATCATACAGTTTCATTTGATATATATTGTAAAAATATTATAATTAAAAAATCCTACAATTATATTACTCTTGATACTTTGCATTCGTCTTATTCTCTCAAGACTTAGTTTTTTTGAAGGTTTCACTTTTAACACGTGTGTTCTGCACACACATGATTTTTTATTTTTATTTTACATAAAGTACTAAATATTATTCTAAAAATATGGATACATTAATTACATTATTAGAGTCTAATTTTTATCATTATTTATAATAAATTTTGATTTGTAAACGTTATTTAAAGTGTATTATTATTTCCTTTCTTTGTAATTATTATAAAAATGTGCGCCTGTATGAATGCAACCCACCAGTCACAATTTAAAAATGTTGCTTGCGAGCGTCATCTGTCGGGACGGATTTTTTTTTCTGCCCAAAAGATAGGCAACCCGTCATACATACTTGTATAAACAGTTTTGACTGCAAAAAAATTCCGTCCCTGTAGATGGCGCTCGCAAGCCACACTTTCAAAGTGTGTCTGGTGGATTGCATTCATACAGGCGCGAATTTTTATAAATAAATTAATAATTAAGTAAATAATTACTAATTAAAAGTACAAATAATATTATAATAATATTATATATTAAATTATCGTCGAGACTTATTTAATTGAATGTTTCACTTCTAACTTGTGTCATATGCAAACATGCTTTTTTTTTATTCTATATTTTCGTGAGCAGAATAAATAAATAACTTAAACAACGATTTGTCAAAACATAGTTTATCAAAATAAGATTTATTTAACACCCTTTTTGACAATCTCTAAATATTAGACATTAAATTTGATATTCAGATTCTGTTAGCATGTACAGACGTTAACGTTACTTATATTATTTATATTAACATTTGTTATATATTTGTTTTATTATCGTTGTTATTTGTTACATTAACATTCGAATATTATGCTTATTATCCTTTAAGAGTATGATATAGACTTTAAATTCATAAACACGTATAATTTTCAAGCTTGAAACAATCTTTATTTACTTTAATTAACTTAATACATTAATTCACTCATTGTTTATAGAGTTTATTTAAGCTAATAATATTACATATTTTTAATAATATTATACGTCTTATATAATAACGTATTATTTTAAATTTAATAAAAGGTGTAATAATTATTCAGGGATATTGTACTTTATCATATATTCAGGAAAAACATTAACAGTTGAAGGTAAATTTCTTAAACTTGCCATTTCGATCTTTGTGATATTATTGTTTCCCAAAAATAAGTAATTTAAAGGAATACGAGCATTTATATGCATGTAATCAATGCTAGAAAACAAATTCGATTGTAAATTAAGATAGCGCAATCCTGTCAAGGTGTTCATCCATGAATCAGGAAGCTTAGTCAGACGATTTTCTGCAAGATCAAGTTTTTCTAACATCTTCAAGTTTAGAAAAGCATCCTTATCAATTAACGCGATGCGATTTCCTCGTAAATTTAATTTCTTTAAGTTTTTCGTATTCGTAAACAAATTTGACGTAATATTAACAAGCTTATTATAAGCAATTGATAGATCCGTCAGAGAAACGAAAGATTCTAAAAATAATATTGAATCAAGAGAATTTCGATCTAATGATAAACGTTGTAAAGATTTAGGATTTTTGAATAAATCTGCATGAATAACTGATAAATCGTTTGATGATATATCTAAATCAACGAGTTTTCCATTGTCAAGATAAGGAAATACTTCAGAAAGAGTATTACATTCTTTTATAGACAATATTCTTAGATTTGGATATGAATTAATATAATAATTCTGTACTAAATTATTCTTGCTTAAAAATAACGCAGAAATATTTCTTGGAAAAGACGTTATATCAACTTCGTAGCCGTTTCTTTCCAAATACAAATACTGCGTTGTTGCAGGTATACGTTTCAAATAATCCGAATATATCTTATTATCTGATAAATACAGATGCGTCAAGCGAGGAAATAAAGTTTCGAGATACGACGGTAATACGTCTAAATTATTGTCACTAATATCTAAATGTGTGACATTAGGTAAGAAACCTTTTGATGATACTGATCCATATAGATACTCATATGTCTTGGTATACCTATCAAATGCTGTATGAGCTAAATTTAATTTCTTTAATGATTTGTGTGTGAATGATGGTAGAAAGTAGTAAAATATATCGGTCAAATTGTTCCATCGAATATTAAGACAAGACAAATTTGGAACACTTTCAAAAGCTTTCGGAGAGATATAAGAGATTGTATTATTCTCGAGAATAATACTATCCACATGGTCGCTAACGATAAAATTGTCTGTCACTGTCATCAAATTCGTATTATTTAGTTTTACAATCTCCTGTTGCTGCGTATCGCATTTGTCCATCGATTCTTCAAAATTCAAACTGAGATTTTGTTCGAAATTTTTCGGATTTAAAGATATAGTTGTAGCAAGTAAACAGGAAATCATTCTGCCAATAAAAACCACGACAATGATAGATTTATTTAAATTCCACATGATGAATATGATGATCTGTAATTAAGAAACAATGTTTAATATATTATATTTCTACTTCTTGTTTTTTTTTTTTCGAGTAATATGGAATAGAATAATATTTAACACATTAAACACCGCACCGACGTTATTGCGAGATTTTTATTTGTTAATAATATTAACATTATATTTACCAATATAATTTGTATGAGCAAATAACGTAACTACGGACAAACTTTTACGGACAGAGCGTATGTATTACGAACAGATAGGTTCTTACTTGATTTCACATGGTTTTATATCGGAATTAGTTACACCCCTTTGGAGAGGGAAGGAACTGAATGCAACTTATTAACCAATAGTAGGAGGGTCCACCCACCAGAATGACCTGATGGAAAAGTTTGTGTTTTTTGGGAAGGATGGTAGTGGGGGGTTTCTGGAAACATAAGGAATTTCTTTTCTGAATAGTACCCTTCTTACGTACATTGTCTCATGTTCATTTAAGTGTTGTATATCACTCGAAGAACTCGACAGTGGTATGTTTTTAGTTAGGCCAATATGTTTCGATGGCCATTGAGATGATTTGAAAATTTATGGCAATCATAAATTTTCTTCATCCTTAAGTAGAACTTTTTAAATAGACGATACCTTATACCTAAGGCCTAACATATTCTATGATATTTGATTCCATAAACTTATGGTATTGTTTTCTTCAACTGAAATTGAATATAAGAAAAAAAAAATATATATATATATATATATTAAATATAAGTTATATCGTCTACAAATGATTTGGTACCGAACAAATAGGATAGAAACGTTTGCATCAATATTTTAACATTACTAAAATGATCTCTCATGCAAAAAAAGATTCTTTTTTCTGTCTCTGAATACGCTTCGTATTATATTTATCAGCAGAAATAAGAGATATCACAACACGTGATAGAACGTCAATGTATGAGTTTTCTTCAAATGCGAGTAAAGACAGTCTTAATCTAATATCTAAAGTATAATATGCGTATTATCCTATATATGAATATTTTAAATAAAATAATCACGAAACGCGTACTTCGAAGCATGAAAGAGTCTTTCATCTGTATCTAATTAAGTTTGACAGAGCACATTTGTATTAATAGAAAAATATATCAAATGCATTAATAATAACATACACATAAGCGTTATAAATGATTATATATTTTATATATTTATTTCATCATTTCTTTTGAAATAAGTAATAAGAAAATATTTATAAACAAATTATTTTCATACAAAAACTAAACGCAATGAAAAGAAATCAAATGAAAATACAATTTTTTTCTTCTTAAACTCCTTAAATATATATATATATATAAATGTGACTATAAATTTCAAAGAAAGATTTATATATTTTACAGAACTTCAATTTTCAGTTACAATACTGTGAATTTTCAAATAATTATTATTAATGTTTGTAATGAAAATTAACTTTCTGCTACAATTAATTACAGTTAACGTAAAAATTCATAGATTCTTGATGATTACATATAAGTGAATCATGTAAATGATTTACATGTAAAATTTACATAATGATTATTAAAAAAAAAAAAAAATAGTTTGTTTTCTTATTTATTGTTTTGAATAATTGCAAAAATTTCTGCCAAATTTTCTCGTACTTTTTTTGCACGATTTTTGATACCAATACCAATTTTAACAATCATCAAATACATTAAATCTATTCCTTCTTATTTCTAAAATATAATTCAGCAAAAAAATAATATACATAATAACTATTATTACGGATTTTATATATAATAATATAGATTATTTTGAATGTAATCAAATTAATTTTGATCTGTTCTTGAAAAATTACTTATTGATGATAAATAAACTTCAACGTTTGTGGGTAATATCATTAAACTTTCTATTTTAATACTTGCAAATTTATTTTGTTGCAAATATAAATGACTGAGATTTGAACGAACATATATAGACATGCTATCAAGGTTAGAAAACAGATTTGATTTCAAATTAAGATAATTCAATTGTTCCAAATTATACATCCATGATTCAGGAAGCTTTATCAAATTATTTTCAGCAAGATCAAGTTTTTCTAACATTTTCAAATTTGAAAAAGCATCTTCATCGATCGCTGCGATACTATTTCCACGCAAATTTAATGTAATTAAATTTGTGTTATTAGTAAAAAAATCCGTAGTAATATACTTAAGCTCATTATTAGCGATCGATAAATATTTTAAAGAACTTAAAGGATTTAAAAAATATAATGAATTGAGAAAATTTCCATCTAAGGAAAAACGTTCTAATGATTTCGCATTTTTGAATAATTCCGCTTCAATATAAACTAGATCATTTTGTGATATATCCAAATCAACGAGTTTTCCCTTTTCTAAAAATTGAATAATTGTAATAATATCATTGCAATTACGAATAGACAATACTTTTAGATTTGGATATAAATTGGTAGGCTTGATGCTCCAATATAAACGATTATGGCTTAAAAATAGAGCAGAAATGTTATTTGGAAATGTAGTCAATTCAAGATTGCCGCGGTTTCTTTCTATATATATATACTCCAATGTAGCAGGTAAACGATTGAAGAATATACTGTTTAATTTATTATCCGACATATAAAGGTGCGTCAAACGAGGAAATGATATACCTAAATATTTCGGTATTTCCACTAAATTATTGTCACTAATATCTAAATGTGTGAGATTGGGTATGGCATCTTTTGTCACTCCTTGTTCAATTTCCTTATCGGAAATTAGTGGATCCATATTCACCGAATAATCTAAATCACTTTGAAATGTTGTATTAGCTAAATTTAATTTCTCTAATGACGAGTGTCGGAATGATGGTAGAAAGTTGTAAAATATATCTGTCAAATTGTTCCGACGAATATTAAGACAGGACAAATTTGGAATAGCATTAAAAGCATACGGAGCAATTTCGATTATTTGATTGTTTTCAAGATTTATAGATTTCAAGTTGTTGCTTGAAATAAAATAATCTCTCACTACCTTTAAACCCAAGTTAACAAGGTTTACATTCTCCTGTTGCTGAGTATCGCATTTGTCCATCGGTTCTTCAAACTTCATACTGAGATTTTCTTCGTAATTTATCGGATCAAAAGATATAGTTGTAGCTAATAAACAAGAAATCATTCTGCCAATAAAAACCACCACAATGATAGATTTATTGAAATTCCACATGATGAATATGATGATCTGAAAATTAAAAAAACAACAACGTTGAATATATTATATTTCTACTTTCTGTCTTTTTAATATTTAAACAAAGCGACAATAACAAAAAGTAATACAATTAAAGATATATAATAAAATAATTTTGAGTGTGTACAATTCATTTCAATGGATATGTTATTTTAATCGCAGTTATCAAACAAATATATAGTACAATTTTGTAAAATACTTCGTACTTGGTAAATCTGTGCGAAATATTACTACTAGAGACTCATATAACGATTATAAATTTAATATATTTATAATAATTTTCAAACAAATTGAGATTATCAAAAAAAATTCCCCCTTATTTATAAAAAAAAAAATATAGTCGGTTTAAAAAGACAGTAAAGTACTTTTTTTTCTCCCTACTATGTGAAAACATTTTGTTTTTTTTTTTTTTTTAATAAATTCTAAAAATATTTCATTTTTAATATACTAATGTTTCATTAAAATGTAATCTAATTACAAAATTTCAAAATTTATAGAAATTAAACAAAAGAGACAGAGTTTTCCAATGTTTCTAAGACAATGGCGTCGCAATAAGCAAATCTTTTTTAATGTTAATTCACAATTATTAATTAACGACTTTAAATTCAAATGTATTTACCTATATAATATTGATGAACGAATTTGTTTATTCTTTTATTCGATAAATTTTCACCAATAGAATGAATAAAAAGTCTAAACAACGATCAACATTTATTTGACACTCCTGATTTCTTTTTTTTTTTTTTTTTTTAACAATCTTTATACATGTACATTAGACACTCGATCAAATATTCGTTTTGCTAATCACTTCCGCTTGTGTATTTATATATCATTGGAACTTTCTCTTCAAAATTCGGTTATCATCTTTAGACCTTGGCTTGACTTCTTTTATTTATGTCCTTTATCTTATCGTTATATTTCATATATATCATATATATATATTTAAATTCATAAAAACAAATATTTTTCAACTGTGTATCTAATTTTACCAATAAGACAAACACAAACATTTATTAAGAATAACAAATTCAAAAGATCTGCCGTTTACGTAGAATAAAATCAAATTTTGTCTAACGAATAAATGAAGTAATAACGCTTATTCTCATCATTTAAATGATTAAACGAGATTTTGTACAAATAAGAGCATTGATTTTTTATTAATATTTTAATTACGTTTATTTCAAATTAAAATATGAACGAACAATCGAGTATAACGCTAGTTACGATTACAATTATAACACTCTACTCTCTGTCTCTATCTCTCTCTCTCTCTCTTGTGAAACTAAACGTATTATTTTCTTCATATTTTTGTTTTCTACGATAGAAAATTCGATAAAACGAAGAGAGAGAGAGAGAACTCATATTACTACAACAGAGAGAGAGAGAGAGAAAAAAAAATATATGAAATATTTAATTCAATCAGATTTTTTGTCAACGTAATTTTCTTCTGTACAATCGTTGTGCTGTAAATCTGATGATTCTGACTTAATTCCTGTTTCTTCAATTACAGGAAATATGGGAGTATTTTCATATCGATCTTTTATGTGCATCCATAATCTCTAGAAAAAAAAGATATTTAAAAATTAATTATGGTTTTTATTTTTTTTATTAATTAATAGATACTGTTATTATAATAGTCTGAAATATTGAACCTGTTAACCGGGGAATTCCCTTTTGTTATTATTTATTTATATATAAAATACAAAAGTTTGTATCTTGTAGCTTTAAAGCAATTGACGTTTGACGTATTTATACGTCCCACACGATTAACAGGTTAAGCACAAAATTTGTTTACAAAATCTATCAACCATATGGATTTTTGAATAATCAAAATTCAAATTCTAAATTGTAATTTGATTTGTAGTTAATCATTATATAATATCTTTTTAATTTCTCTGATAATGCATCACTGATAAAAACTGTAAAAAAAAAAATCTCTAATAAAAACCCCAAAAAAAAAAAAAAAAGGAGAATTGTTAAAACAAATTTACATATATCACTCACTCCATCGTTTATCCACTCAAAAATGGATTCGCAAAGATAATCATAGGTTCGTTCAAATATAACGCTCGTTACAACTATACCAAGAGTAAACGTAGATGTTCGTTTAAAAACATATTGATAAAGTAAACGTTTTATCATTTTTCTTTCAAGACCTTCGATGTCCTGTAGTCCAAAATATATTTAATATCATAGATGGATATCTTAATGAAAGCATTAAGACGATTCTATTATTTTATTGATAGATTCAGTTATAATCTTGGATTCATTGTTCAATTGTTTAGGTAGACATTAGTAAAAAAAAAAATATAGAAATGTTGAAAAAAAAAAAATGGACGTACATATCTTCAAAAAATCGTATCGTTTGAACTCATTTATTGTTACTTATCGGATTAGTTAATAGATCTAATTTTTGTCTATAAACAGGAAAAATATATGTGATATTAAATTACTATATATATATATATATATATATATATATCGAAATATTATAAATATTAATATTTGATTTTGAGAGATTGAGTCAAGTCCAGGTATCGTATCAAAGAATATAGAATTATACAGAACATTGCAAGAGTACTTTTTGAGTATAAAAATCATCTTAGTTAGAACCGGGACCACTAGAGGGTGATAGTAGGTACTTAACGCGATGATGATCTGAATTTTATCAATGAACGGTATGAGACTATCAAAAAATACAATATTCTATCTATTATTGTGAAAAGTGTTGTACAATAAAAATAATCTTGCGATGTATTTATAATTGTTTATAATTTAATACGAACAAATTTGCGTTATTATCACAAGGTAATCTTAAATACCAATACGACTCAGTCGATAACTAGGATATATTCTTGAATGATATGATAATGAAATATTAATTACTTGAAAAATATATTACACAACTAAAACAAATACGAAAATAATTCTTTCGTAAGTCATTTGCATTATTTTACAGTAGCACGTAAAACTTCTCGTTAATATTCTCTCTGAAAGTATTTCCAATGGAAAAAATGTTAAACATATTACAACAAGGTTAACAAAATAATTGTATTTCTCGTCATAAATATTCATTAGGAATACTTAAATAAATTGAAAATAATTTGAAAAAAAAGCTATGAAATTGATTTTGATCAGAATGTAGTTACCAACATTTACGTACGACACTAGTGATGAGATTGCTGAATTCTTAATAAGCAGAAAGTGTAGAAATCTTTCTTGATGCTCTATGAATAATTACGAGAAAATTACTATAAAAAAAATAGATATATTTATAAATATAAGATCTACGTAAAAAAAAAAAAAAAGAAAAAAATAAATATATATATATATATATTATTTTTAGCAATGACCAATTTATTTTGTAAAATAACAAAAAGTAAAACAAATAACTAACTAATGTTGGTTGTCATACAACTACCAATTGGATTGGTTTATTTTCATGGATCAATTTGAATCGACCAATAGAAATGACGCATAGAGAAGAATAATTTAATATGCTGACGTATTATTGAATAAAAGTGGCGATCGGTATATAAAATGTCAAAAACGATTACCTTCAATTGATAAGAACGACTTGGATGGACAATACAAAATTATGTCGTTGTAATCGCATAAGGACAACGACGACAACGACAACGCGACGACGACACAACGTCGACGACAATAATGGGTAAGTGTAACGTCAATTTATCGATTACAAAACACAATCTTTCCATTTTTATGAGTAAATATCTTGACTGATACATTATTGCATAATTTACTGAAACAAAATGACGCCATCTAATAATAATACATATGACTATTGCACACATGCTAGCCATCCTCAGAGCAGGAACTTAGTATCTCGAAGTTACGTGTAGTTTATGCCATCTACTTCTGCTATATGAGTCAGACTACGCACTTTAGGAACTAGGGAAGAAGAGAGAGAGAAGGACACGTAAAACATGGCTGAAGCCGTTGTAGACGGGACTCCGGTGTCCCGTTTTTATTGCCATAAATGCATCGATGAAATTGAGTGTTTGCAACCCGTAAGTATTCTCTAATGTTACTTGTAGTTGATGTAACGCTTATACGTGCTTATAATATAATCAGCGAAAGTCTAACATCAATCTGCAAGTTGTCACTATAACCATGTGTAAAATCCCTATCCCCTTTCCCCTCTATCAGAAACAATGCTATGTTCTTCAATGTTCGTACTTTAATAATCTTCAAGAATCTTCATTGGCCACTAAAATCAAACTTTTCATTCTTCAAAAATAAATACTCCATTAATTACGTTATTAATCCATAGACATATAACATCAGATTAAAAGGCAAAAGTCTATTTGTCGTTAAATACCTTTTTATTTTCCGACGTTAATGGTCTCTATTATCATGCAACGTAAAACGTTTATGTACATTTTTGGATCAGTTCATGCGTCCATTCTAACAATATTAATATCATTCTTTTCCATACTACGTGATGAAATTTTCTTTTTTTTTACACTGTCTGTCAAATTGACAGTATTGTCATAGGCATAAATGACAGTTAGTTAATACCTTATTTTTATTTATTTATCTTGTCCTACATATTACAATACATAATATGAAAAAATTAATAACTATAAATATATTAATAAATAACAATCTTTTTATTAATAATATAAAACATGATAATAAAAAAAAAAAAAAAAAATAATAATAGAGTTTTGAAATATAATGCGTTTACTTGTCATTTTTATCAATGAAATACAAATAAAGTTTTCTGTGTAATATGTATATATTATTAGTACTATATAGCAATATTTGTACTTTAGACTCTCTCTGTCATGTCCTTGAAAATACTTATATATAAATATATATATATGTATATATTTTTGTTTTTGAAAAATAAATATTTATAGAAGCTGCTTTATATGTAATAAAATAATTATTTCGAATACAAAGATCATTTTATTCTTGAAGGTTACACAAGGAAGAAGTTATTTTTGGATATACATTTCATTTCTATGAGATATGTTATATTATATAGCTATTAATCAATTGTACTATTAACAATTATTATAATCTTCATTAATTTTGATAACTTTAACTAATTAACTCTCTTAAATATTGAATAGGATTATACTTGTCCAAGATGTTCGTGTGGATTTATAGAAGAATTGGAGGTTGGAACCAACGACAATGGTTCTGGGATGGATATAAGCGGAGAAGACCTAAGTGATATTGATATTATTGATATGCCAGCCTATAATGTGAGTCGTATAACTTAGAGTTTCTTTGAATTATTAACAAAAATTGTTATCTATTGAAATAAATCAAATATTTCAATTTGAAAGATACAAAATATGATGAAAGAGGTATTATTAAACGATACAAAAATACCATTGTATAATCTTACTTTTTTTTCATTATTATTACAGCGCTACCCTACTGATCGTGATTTTGTAGAAATGATATTGGAATCTCCTACCCTGAATATGCAACCACGTGCAGGTAACAGAAGCAATACGTTAGAAGGCAGAAGACGAGTTAGCTGGTCACGCAATACACCAGATACTCGTCGCTCTGGCAGGTACACTGCACTTCCTTCCCGCACTGGGCTTCTACGCCATCGGTATTCCATTTACTGACATGATAACCCTACAAGGCTCGTATGATTAATCTGACAATAAATTAAGTTTGTTAAAGAAATTAGTCGAACAAATTAATTGAGTACATATCAAATGATAATCAAAACAAATATTTAAGTAATTAATATAAACTAATTCAATTTATTTTTGTTTTGTTTTTTCATTTCAATTGCTTATGATTAATCATACAACCTTATGCACTCACCTATCGCCAGCTATTTATAAAATCATTTTTTATTATTTATTTTTTACTTTTTTTAACAATTTTGACGCACCAATTGTATTAAAAAAAAAAAAAATTAATATAATTGCTTTTAGAAAGTATTTCTTAATATATGTTACTTGTATATTGCAAACATCTTAATTACGTAAATATAAATAATATATTAGTTTTTAGATTGAAGCATGCTTGAAGTACAACATCACATTTTGTCATTATTAATACACTACATTATACGTTTTGATTTATTTGATACAGCTACAGTATTTTCATAGTTTATGATATTGTTTCAAAATATTTCATTCTTTGAATGTTATATATTCATAGAAGTGAAATACTTCATTTCTATTGATTGATTACATTAAGCACAGTTAACGATAAATTCTAATCATTATTCTTCCAAATTAAATATCATAAGAAAATGTTTGTCAAGCATAATTTTGATATAATAAATAAGGCTTGAAATAACTATTAATATATAAATCGACATTGCATTCTTTGCATTCATATTAACAAACACATATATGTACCTACAGAGTTTATGCTTATAAACTTTTATGAAACGTATATATGCATATACATTTCATAACATCCAAAGGGTTAATAGAAGAAAAAAAATATATGAAAAATCTAAAGTTTACAATAATTTAATAAATAATATTTGTATAGTGAAAATAATAAAGTACATATGTGTGTAGGTGAGTGCTATACTGTAATGTAATTTACCAAGTTTTGTTGTATCTCTTGTTATGCTGGGCTGTGCTGTGTTGTATTCAAATATACACACAAATGAGTCAAACCACTTAAAAATATATAACATATATTTATTGAAAATAAAAATGTCAACAAAAAGAAAAAAAAAAAAATTCAATGAACTAATAGAAAAAGCTAAATAATCATATTTCAAAAAGTTTACACATTTTCTATGCTTTACGTTGCATTAAGCTTTATAATACTATTCTGTGTACATTAATAAGTTTACTTAAAATAAAAATAAACAAAACTTTCTTTTTGCACAATATTTAACATTATGCAATAGTTAATAATTCAATGTATTGATTTGACAGCAATCGTGCAAGACAAGAAGCAATACCTATTGAAAATTTTATTCAAGACTTCATACTTAATCTGTCAGGAGCTGGTCTAGGCCATCCAGTAACACAAGATGGACAACCACCTGTGTATGTAGTGCTTCCAAATACATTTTTAATATTACAATTGCTTATCATTAAAAATCAAAGTATTTTCTTTTTTTTATCTAATACACAATTGGTCCTCCCCCTCCCTCCCTCCACCCCTATTATTATTATTATTTATATTCTGATAATAGTTGTGCATGTAAATTTGTTCAATATTTTTATTAAGCATTCTATTTTCTATGCTGGCTTTCTTAAAAATGTCTAAACATTTTAGTATTATTTAATTTATTATTTTTTCTTTGCAATTAATTGCTTGAGTTATAATATGATTACAGTGATGATTCCCAACAAAAATCGGACTGTAGTATAACTAACTTAACAGCTTGATATTTCGATTGTTTATAAAGTAATCGCTCTACTTACTACTACTTACATTATTGACTATTTACTCTATTTCACATGTATGTATTGGAGCTTTCTTCTAATAACTCGCCAACTATATTTGGAAATTATTTGTGGATTTTCTTTCTTTCTTTTTTTTTTTTTTTCTTTTTTTTTTAACAATTCTTCCTTTCTCTCCCTCGTATATAAAAAAAATCTTGATCTTCCAGTTTGTATACAAATGGATTCAATACAATTCTCACTAATTAAATTGTTGAATAATATTCGTTTATGTATGTTTATCAATGTTAATACATAAATGACTATTGCCAGAAACAATAGTAAAGCCGATGAACTGTATAAACAATCGAAATATCAATCTATAGATTTGACTTTATAAAGTCAATTATACTGCTGCAATGTCCGAATATTTTTGAAAGTCACTATATATAAATATAGTAACTTAGGACAAAATTATTTTAATATCCATATCTATATATATATATATATTGTTAGAATTGTAATTTTTGTAAGATCATTTAGTCATTTGAAAAATAAAAATATTGTAACAAAGAGCACTGTAAAATATCACATAAATAAGTTATAAACATTGACAAAATAACTGGTTATTTTTACAAAGGATATGTTCTCTTCATGATGTAAATTCACGTGTTTGCATATATTCATGAAATATGTACTAATTAAAATAGAAGACATTCGTAATATACCATTTTATGTGCTTGTCCTCATAAGATCACAGGTTAGATTTTAATTTTGCCTTAATATTTGTAAAATTCCAGATTATTTCAATCATAATGTCAATCACTCAAAACGTAAGCTATTGTCTTTTTATTTTATATTAGTATTACTAAAATAAAATCGAATAATATAGATTCAATATTAGACTGTTCTTGGGAAACCCTGGAGATTATGTTTGGGGTCGGGATGGATTGGATGCTATTGTCACACAGTTATTGAATCAAATGGATGGAACTGGACCACCGCCATTACCACAAAAACAAATTGACGCTATACCTAAAACAGCAGTTACACAAAGTCAAGTTGGTAAGTGATAATACTTCATTGTAAAATGCCATTAGTATTCAAATCATTTGTAAATTTACTATAATACATTTTTGTTTACACAGATAGCAAATTACAATGCTCCGTTTGCTGGGAAGACTTTAAATTAGCTGAACCTGTTAGACAACTTCCGTGTCAACATTTTTATCATACTCCTTGCATCGTACCTTGGCTTGAACTTGTAAGTATTTTGATAATATTTTGTTCTAAATATATTTATATTATGAAATGATGATGTTATTTGTTGCATATTATAATTTTTTTTTTTTTTTTGTAGCATGGAACATGCCCAATTTGCAGACAAAGTTTAGGTGATCAAAGTACTGCAGAAGCAAATCAAGATACTGTTAGACCTAGTTTAGCTGCTCTCTTTAGGTATGATAACAATTTATTACAATGAAATGTACTTGGTTCAAGTATCTAATTACTTACAATGTATGTCTATTATATTTTACAGGGCTGCTAATGAATCTAACAGTAGCAGATCATCATCCACTTCATCATCAACTGGAAGTACCTCCAATAGTGATTCTTCTAATGAAATGTGAGATTAATTATTAAATCTTGATGTTTTCCTATAATGTAGAAAAAAAAAAAAAAATATCATTTTCCGTACTACAAAACCACTTTAAACATAAATAACTTTGGCCATGGATAAAAATTATATTAAACTCGTGTTAACGAATTTTCCTAATTTTTTGAGTGAAGAAATTAATTAAAATTATAAGTCATAATCTGGCAAGAATTTGTTTGCGTCCCTTAAAATTTGTCTGAATATAATTTAAAGCAAACTTCTTAAACAACTGATGCATACATATACATACTATAGTTTCTATAATGTAACAATAGCAAAGTTATAGCATATACTTTGATATGATAATGAAAAATATTTAAAGGTACGATGAAAGAGTAAAAAATCATGCAGTTTTTACAAGCGAGTCCAACACTGCTTGTAAGAAGGTACGCTATTGCTGATTTAATCGTATGTACTAGTAAATATGTGATAAAATTTGTATCATAATTGAGATATAGAAAATTGATTACACAAAAGAAATCTAATTCTCCATTAAGTTTTCACATCATAGAATTATTAGTAAAACCACGTAGAACATTATAATAATAATAATAATAATAATATATCAAACAATTTTCTTATTTAATATGAAGATTAAAGAGAAAAGCTTAATTCATTTTATTATGTGCTTTTATAGCTTTGATCATTATAATTTAATTGTAAAGAAAAATATCTAATTCAATGCTTTTTGCGGCAGAACAGTTAATATAATATGACAATATGAATGAAGTATTATTATATAAAAACGCTACAATCTACTAGTTTCCAACATAGATCATAAGATTAATCGAAACACTTGAGTTGTTTTTTTTTTCTTTTCTTTTCTTTTTACACTAGAGATATCAGAGTTATTTTGAGTAATTTATAATATACAGGATGTTTCATAAATGTCAATGTTTCAATAAGTATATAATACCCTATTTAAAAAACATTCTATGATCCGGGAAATTTTTTTTTATTAAAATATAATCGATTTAACTGTTGTTCATATCTATTGGCACAATTTTAAATGAATTACATATTTATTTTAATAGTATAATTATGCAAAATGATTTTCTCAATATCAAAACCTACTGAATATCTTTGACATTATTCCCAAGAACAAAACATTAAATTGCATCAAATTTGTTATGTTTTATATCGATGAACGTTATTAATAAACATTAAATAATGTCAAGATATAATGCATAAGTTGTATAACAGTTTGTATTTGAAACAAATTTGTATTCCAAAAATTCCATTTCCTTCTTTGAAAATTATTTTGTAATCATGTGTAAGTAGTTAAAAACAAGTGAATCAGACAATTGTAGATATATTTACTTTGTACAATACTCTGTACTTATTTATAAATATATCTCCTAAAGTATTAATATGCATTTATGAAACTTCCTGTATAGATTTCAATGAAATATGCTTAATTATATGTTTTACTGAATATTAGGCATAATATATGTACGACTCAATTTCATTATAACAAGACTACAGAACACGATTGGTGGTGTAGAAGGATTAATAAAGAAGAAGATTAATATTATTGAAATCTAATAATTATATGCAATTGTCACATTTTTGTTGCATAAAAAAAACAACGTTGGGGAATAGTAGAGAGTAAAAGAAGACATACGATAAAATAATTGCGCAATACAAAGGATCAGGAATTGCTTTGCCAGTATTTGGAGATTATAATTTTAACTTAACGTTATTAAGAGACAAACAATTGCTAGTGAAACTTTTATAAAATGTGTAGTGTACAGTTACTAAGCATTATATAATATACACATCATAAACACACACACACACACGGACGCGCGCGCGCGCGTATATACATATATATATATATATACACACCCAATATATATATATATATATATTTATAATATTTAACATAATGTGGATGCGTACTTAGAAGTTGTATGTAATTAATAACATAAATGTCTATATTTATGATCAAAGTTAAAGTGTGTCATACGATACAAATTTGCAAACGCTCATTTTCAACGCTGCATACAACGGTTACAGCCATGTTTTTGTTTCCTCAAAAATCATGTAATAAGATCATTACGTGTCCAACAAATAGATCAATGTTTTTGTAATAAAATCAATGAAGAAAAGAAGAAATAAATATTGTGCGTTTTATAAGCTCGATGTGTACATCACAAAATATAATTTCATAATTAAACTATTATTTCACATAATATAATCTCTTATTAGATATGTTTGACAAATTTGAAAAAAAAAAAATGATTTATATATATATATATATAATATATATGATCATGAAGGTTTGCTCGATACAATTTTGGAGAGATAAGCAATTTTGTAAAAATTTTCCAAAAATAAAATCGTATTGTTTGAATTTTGATAATAATTGATCATTACTGGCAAAGCAAAATAATTCAATTTATAATAATAACAATTACTCCATCTGCAATTTTTAGTTTTAAGGTCTCTTTAGAATATTTATCGTTTTGCGATTTAATCATGTTTACATACTTGAGAGTGATTGTTAACGATTTGATTTGAACATACATGCATCGATAGATCGATTTCATGGAAATACTATTATAAATAATTTCGTATGAGTGACAAGCACTCAGATTTCATTCAGTTCTCTTTATCTATTGCTACGTGGAGTGTCAAATTAATGACATTATTATATGTTCTGTTATAACAAAAGATACACACAAGGTTTTAGATTTAATTTTGTCATCTATAGTCTAAAGTTTCCTTGACTTATATATTTATTTACTGTCATTGCTTTAAATAAAAAGGAAAAAGAAGAAGAAGAAGAAGAAGAAAAACACTAAAACATTAAGGGATATCAATTTGTAAATGTATGCGTTTACTAATGCTAGATAATTTTATTTCATAATATAAGTGAATTACGTTTGCAAAATTCATTAAATATAAAAATTCTGCATATTTACTTATTACACGACCAATAGATTGCTTTATAGTTAATGATTCTGTAAATTGTTAGAATACAAAGAAATGTTATATTTATTCGTGAATAAAATAAAAATATATTAGGAAAATATCAGTTAATAAATTGTCACTATAAAACCTCAAATTTATTTTGAAATTATTTTCATAAAATATTATGTATTTATGTATACATTAGTGACAAATTTATTAATGAATTTGTCACAATTAATTGTATTTTTTCTTTTTTTTTTCTTTTTTTTCATAGATGTACCCTACAATATTAAAATGATTATGAAAATAAAATAAAATAAAATAAAAATCAAGAAAGGATATCATCAACTCAAAAAGGAATACATTTATTATAATGTGGAATAACTTTTTTTCTACGATTAAATTCTTCTCCCTGAAAGGTGTAAATATCATATACATGATGGACATGTTTATTTTACGATCCATTTATTAAAAATATGCGCTAATTCACAATGCGTATTTCATTACTTTCAATTAGAATAGAACATGACACAATTATTATATTGTCTTCTATCTACGCGTTCAGACATTTCTAGCACATAATTCTGAAAATATATATATATGTGTACATATATATATGTATGTATGTATGTAGGTTTATATATAATATATTTATATAAATACTATGTATAGTATTATATAAATATATTATATTAGAGGTAACAATTAATTTGGTGTCTTGCTATTAAATTATTTATAATTAATTTGAATATAAATAATTACTCGTTATCATATAATCGCCATTTTGGTGACCAAAGTTATTGTGAACATAATAATAGAGTCAAAGAATATAACAGATATGTATAATTATTTAATAAATAAATATGAAATTTGTGTTAATAAAACACCGAATTAATTGTTACCTCTAATATATAATATAATATATTATATATAATATATAATTTTAGGTTTGTAGTTTACAAAAGACTAGCTTAATTCATCCTAAACACTTTGTTAAATTTTGAATTTCTAACTAGTATCGTTCTCTCTTATCGTCTTTTTCTTTTTTTTTTTTTTCTTTCTCTCTTTCTTTCTTTCTTTCTTTTTATACTTCTTTTAGATTTTATTTTTGGTCGTATTCACAGGTAATGTCTAGTCGCGAGATATCGCGCATTTAATTATTTTCTTGCCTATGAAAAATTATTATGTAAACGTGTCTTATTCACAGAAGAATTATTTTTTCTTTCTTTCTTTTTTTTGTTTTGTTTTTTGTTTTGTTTTTTTTTCTTTTTTTTTCGAATATTTCTCTTTTTTTTTTTTTCTTCGTTTCTTATACAATTAAAAATGGCAAGTGAAACGTGCATATATTCGTACGACGATTGGATAAACGCAATATTATCAATGACAAGAAGAACTTGTAAAAATACTTGATAGGAATAAGAATAGAATGATGATGATAGTAATAATAATAGTAATAATAATAATAATAATAATAATAATAATAATAATAATATTAATATTTTGTCTTTAAATTAGATGTTTGTTTTTGCACAGAACATAATATGCATGTGTTCTCCTCCTCCTCCTTCTCGTGTATACAATACGAATAATTTCAACACATATGTATATCAAAGTACACATTCTGTGTAATTACAATGGTGGACTTTAATTGCAATATATTTTACGACTAAAGCTTTCGACGAGTAAAAATGCATTAAAAAAAAACACACACATATACGTACATATACGTACATATATATATATATATATATAGATATAGATATATACCGGCGTTACTATGTCAAATTTGCTGATTCATGAATTGACTAGCTAAACCCAGAAATAATTATACTGGTCTATTTAAATATGAAAAAAAAAAAACACAAAAAAAAATTAGAATTACAAAACAGAATACAATACAGAGAGAATTACATATTTCAATTAATTAAGTATAGAAAAATATTCTTCAATTTTGTTTCAATATCTGCTTATACTGTGTACTGTTATAAATTTGGGGATAAACAAAAAATATATGTTTTTCGTTTGAAGTCTTCCAAACGATGATTATCAAATCTCGAGATAGAGTTTTTTTTTTTTTCTATTGATTTAAGAAATTTAATTAGATTTTGTTGGAAAATTATAAAAATGAAATAAATGAAACGTTAGCAATGAATGCTCATCATAGATACGTTTTTATCTTTTTATCTTCTTTGGGAAAAAAAAATGTTCTGTTAATGTTCGTATCGTTTTATCGATTTTGAATATACCCCCATACTTTAACTACTCTTATAGTGAATTCATATTTAACTTTGTTATTCATTTTGATATAGAATAAAATTCTTTTTATATGTTATTCTAAATATTGCTTAATTATTCTGAGTAAGACTTAGGGTTTTCACGATTTAACGCCAACATATATTTATATATATATGTATCATAAAAAGATTTTATCAAAGATAGAATATTTTAAAGCAATCATCACACAAGTTTGAGATTTCAAGTTTCGGATTCTTAGAGTACAATATATATATATATTTATATAGATTATTTTAGAACAATTATATGGGCCAATGATTATATCAAATTTACTTGTATTATGAAAAGCGACTTTTAACAAATGTTTTCAATGTAGGCTATTGTTAATTAAATCGCTTACATAACTAAGATCTTTATCCTTTAGAAATGTAACATGTACATTACATATATACGAAAGTATGTGTGCCGAAGATGATAAAGAGTCATATCGAGTATATCGAGGAAGAGATTATGACAATCTGTCTTGTCATCATCGTATATTCAAACGAGAATAAAACTGAATGAAAGAACTTTGAAAATATTGTGCGTCCAAATAATATTATTATTAATCCATTGGTTGTGTTAGCTTTTTTTTTTTTCTTTTTCTTTCGATTGGTCCTTTGACATAAAAGAGAACGTAACAAATAATAAGCAAACGACATAAATATATCGTTACTTTTTACTTATTACACAAGTCTCCCTTTTCTGTATACAGCAAGATCTTCTATACAGTGGATCTTACAGAGGAGAAAGATAAAAAGAAAAAAGAAAAAAAAAAGAAAAAACAGACAGATAATCAATCGCGCATTTTATCCTACATGTTTTATCTTGATTTATACAGAGATTTATAATCATTGGATGCCTTTATATCATCATTGTCGTCATTATTGGACAACTCATCATTATCATTATCATTATCATTATCATTATCATCATCATTATCATCATCACCATCACCATCTACAAATAGAAGTGTACGAAAATAAATGAAGCGGAATGTTTAATAAAAATAATTCAAATAATTCAAATAATAATAATATAATAATTATAATTATTAATCTTAAAAACAATCTTCTCTCATCTTCTAAATCTAAAAATATACAATCATCTTGCTTCGAATTTACATTTGGAGTATAATAAGAATGATTTCATTGTCCAATACAAGGTAATAACTCTTAATGTTCTCTTTGTTAGTTACAATGATAGAAAACAAATTATAATAATGATTGTAATATTAGATAAAACGAATTAATAATAAGATCGTTTTACTAACAACAAGAGTAGTAGTAGTACATCAATATAAAAACGATGAAATTAATATCTTAAAACTAATTACTTAAATACTGCATTAGAGATGCAGATTTGATCACGTTAAACGTAAATAATTGACTTAGCTAATCTCGAACGTTAGCTATAGTCCATATTTAATAATAATATAATATAATATAATATATAAATACTATTGTACAATTGTTATTTTCAAAGATTAAATCTAATGCATTAACTTTGTCATCGCGGAAAAGAAATAAACATATTGTTTAAGTTAACGTTATATTATTTAACCCTTTCGCTGCTATACATATATATATATATATATATATATATCTCTGGTGTAGCGAAAGGGTAAACACAAAAATAACGAGAAGAACAAAGAAATATATATATAAATCGAAAAAAATATAGAAAATATCAACATGGTAACTGTTTCACGATAAAATAAAAATAAAAAATAAAATAAAATAATAAAAGTAAGCCTGATTATGAGTAAAATAAAGATTGCTAAAAATGGTCACAATAGAGTCCACTTATAATTAGTTGGAGCGATCTTGGAAGCGATGATTAAAACTTTGATGGTATTATTTTTAAATGATAAAGCTATCATCGAATCATTTTAAGCTACCTAAGCTTGAGTATCTCTTTCGACAGAATCAAATTATAATTCTTATTGTCGATCGAGCATACAATCGAACACACTTTTCACAAGATTCGATTTTTTTTTTTTTTTTTTTTTTTTAATCCTTTATTTAAAATTATTTTTTAAAGACACCTCGTGAGTGTGAGTGTGAATGTGTATGTGTGTCTTACGCGCGAGAATTTTTATTCTCGCACGAAGAACCTTTGAAACTATGTGTATATGTATATATAATATGTGTGTATATAAACACACACATATATATATATATTCAAGCAAATTGAGAGCTCGTATTTTACTATGCATCGGAACGGTCGCACTAATTGTTCGCTGAAAAATATTTTATCTTTTTTTCTTTTATTTTTTTTTTTTTTTTCTTTGATACATGCTACATTCTTCGAAGAAAGTATATAATTTGATTATTTTCAACGAATTTACGACCTTCCGTCTCTTTTGGTCGTATATAAGATCGCTTATTACTTAAGTTCGTCTAGTGCCATTGAAAATGACACTATTGTTTTATTTTATTTTATTTTATTTATCTCTTTGTTTTTTATTTATTTATTTTATTTTTTTTTTTTTTGTACTGCCGCAAACGTGCACTATTTTTTTTGTTTTATTTTCTTTTTTTCTTCTGTTTCTTTTATTTTGGGAAGACTTTTCAATGGCTGACAATCATACGACACCCAACTTCCCTTTCAGAAATGTATTTACATACGATGTATTTGGGGGAGACAAAAATTTAGAGATTTGTTCTTTGGAATTCTTGAGATCTTTTCTTTTTTTTTCTTTTTTTGTGTGTGTGAAAAATATCAGATCCTAGTTTTTGATCAGTGTATTACTGATGATCTTTTTTCTTGTTTGAGATTAGTATAGTATATACATACAGATTAATATTTTTCTATTTGGAATAATACGTTATCCATTTGAAAAAACTGTTTCAGTTCCGATACGTAGAAAATATCAAGAGTATGCAAATGGATGTTATTATAACGTGATGGATTTAGAATAAGAATCTTCTCTTTTGAAAATGGAGAGTCCCGTTTTATATTATCGTACACAGTTTTTTTTTTTTTTTTTTTTCATTTAAAGTCATGTATCTTACGAGATAAGAATCACTTACATGACTGAAATCTAATAATTATTGAGAAATTGAAGTTATTTCTATTCTTTTATTTCCTCTCTCTCTTTCTCTCTGTTTAATTGTTTTCTCTCCATTCATTGTTTATTCTTGTCCGTTAGTTAAAGTTTTAAAGATATTTATTTTTGGTTTATCTGCAATTATTTATTTTAAATGAATTACTTTATACGCATGTATATACATGCATAAGATTACTTAAAATATATACAAATGTCTAAGAAAAGTTCCGACCTAATCCCATACGCGTTTCTACGCTTTCTCTTTCTCCTTTCTCTTTATTTTTGTTTAATTTTATTCATATACCATAGATTGAACACAATGATCGAAAATTTCAATCACAATAGATTAGTAAACTTAATGGCGTTACGTTTGATTCCTACGTAATATTAATGGCTAGTCAATTTTAATTACTAAATATTTCAAAGGCGAATAAGAATAGATTTTTCATCATGCCACGTTTTGGCATGTATTTTTTTTTTGGTTTTTTTTTTTTTAGTGTTTCGTCGTTAAATCGTCTAGAAATTATTAACGACGTTTATAAATTTTGATCGATCACTTTTGAAAATTTGTCTAAGTCTAAATTGGTATATATACTTACATATACACGTGCGTATATTTTTTGTTATGAAATTGACAAAACAATTCGATTTGTCTTCTTTGCGAAAGGAAGAAACGCGAGATATGCGAGTATGATTGAATGTGTCGGATTTCTATGTAATAAGAGGAATAATACAGAACGTTTTTCACTTTGAAATAATATAAAAAAATGGAACAAAATAAGATTAAGAATAAAAAGAAGAAGAGAACAAAAGTATTGTAACTGTGCGTTGAATGCTTACTGTTTACTAAAAATCAAATTACATTTGTCGATGATAAGATCGATTTTTAATATCTAACGAATCTGTATAGAACATAAATTGAAATCTACTTTTTTTCTTTCTCTTTGTTTTTTTTTATTTATTTATTTATTTTACTCTTTCTCTCTTTTTCTTTCTTTCTTTCTCTTTTTATTAGATTTCGTTCCATTTGAACGTGAGGTAGAGTGATTCGGGGAAACAGGAAAAAGTGAAATATCGTAGGTAAATAATGAAATTTAGCAGAGAAGTCTGGCAGTATAGATTTTGCTTCAAGATGAAGAAATTCTAGCGAATTGATTATTCGCCTGATCAGTGCGATCTTGCTTCATACAGAAATTCTTACTTTGCCCCTGGTACTTTTCCTAAAACCTAAAGATAAAGAAAGGATATAAAAAGGTATAAAATCAGTACACATTTGCTCGAGTTATACGTCGTGTCACGAACGTTTTACCTTCGATAGATCGACACCTGTCAACGCTTGAACCGCTGGTGGTACTTGACCCACTAAGCGAGCTATTTCACCACTCGTTGCATCGTTTCCACCTAACAGAACGATTTCTTCCGTTCTTGCTAAGGGTGCTGCAACCTCGGCAGCGATCTACAAATTGAAAAGGAAACAAATAAAAAAAAAATACATTTAATTGTATATTATGTAAAAAGTTTTTCAAAAAATGAGACATATTTCATATAAGATTTTAAAAGATTCGTGCATATCAAATTTACGTTTAGAAACAACATACAAAAAAAAAATGGCATAACTTTCTACAAGAGTTTGCATTATAGAACGGAAGTCGAATTAGTGTATAATGCATTATGCATATAAGATTCGTTTCTCTTTACCTTTGGCAATGCATTCAATGCAATATTGAGTATCGCCGCTTCGCCATATTTCTTGTAGACTGTAGCTTTCATTCGCATACGCTCAGCTTCCGATATTCCAACGGCTTCCAAAGCTTGAGCCTCAGCTTCTCCAATTAATCGAATCCTCTCGGCTTCGGCTTTCGCTGCGCTCACCGTTTGCGTTCTATTTGTTTTAAAAACAATTCAATGTGATATACATATACACATATAATAATATTAAACACCAAGTATTTGACTTTTACATAATTTTGTTTGCTTTGATAATGGTAAAAAAATGATGTATTATGACGACTGAACCAATATATCTTAAAACAATTGCTGACAGTCGTCGTTTTTTTGTTTAATGGACATTCTACGTTACAACCATCTTCTTTGAGTAAAGTTTACATTAGTTTATTGCGTGTTTACAAAAAAAAAAAAAAATATAAAAGTTAAGTTATACAATATTATTCTTAGTTTTAGTATATTAACACTTTAATGGCCGCTCACACAACATGTGTGTGATAGCCGAAACACATTGGCCGTTATTTTATTTTTATAACTTTATATATATATATTTAAAATTATGTATATATAAAATTAAATTTGTTGTTTTTTGTTTTATGTTTTATGTTAATTTGACGACTATTAACTTGACGACGTTTGACTACGTACACGTACAGCCATTAAAGTGTTAATGGATGTTTAAAGGGGGCTTATGTTTTTTTAAATAAGGAAAATGAAGGTTTACAACATTAGAGTAGCCTCTATGTAAGTAGAGTCATAAGAAATTGTTAGATTTCGGGGCATACCTTTTTCCTTCAGCCACTTTTCCAATTTTATAATGTTCTGCTTCGGCTGGTAATCGTACAGTACTCTGAAGTTCGTGTTCTTTTCGGCGTACCTCTTGTTCCTCTACTTCGATTTGTTTACGCCTCTCTACGATTTCTATCTGTATCTCTTCGTTTCGTATTCGTTGCCTTATCTTCGCGGCTTGTAGTTCGTATGCGAGCTGTGCTTCTGCTTTCTACAGATATAAACAAAAAGAAGAATCAAATTTATATGTATTAGTACATCTTAGAAACAAGACCACCACCATATTGGTTTCACTTACAGCAGTGTTGACTTCCTGGTCGAAATTAGCCTTTTGCAATTGGAAGAGCCTCGCGTTATCTTCGATCTTTGTGTCGGTGTTGTACTTTATGTCCATCGCCGCTTTCTCGCACTCGGCTTCCTGCGAACAAGCGAATTCTACGATTTCTCTTGCTCAAGCATGTTTTACCTATTTACAGAATAATGATCCATGGAAGCGAACTATTCTTTCGAAAAGTCTAACTTTTTCTTCGATAAAAATCATTTTCGTATTAGAAAGAATCATTCTATTAAACGATAAACTTAATTTTCTGCCGTTTTTTTCCATTTCTAGAATTGGTTAGTTTCAAAGGAAAGATGAATTCATTCGTTGTTTAACAAAATGAGTTAAAACTTACGCGTATGCCAGCATCACGATTGGCCTCAGCAACACCAACATCTGCATCACGTTTAACTGCTGCTGTCTGAGCTTTTCCGAGTGATGCCAAATATTGAACATCATCGTAAACGTCCTTTATCGTGAATGAGAGAATCTCTATGCCCATACGACCAACATCAGGTGCTGCAACTTCTCTTACAAGTGCAGCAAATTGATCACGATCTTTGTAAACTTCCTCAACTGAGAGCGTGCCTGTAAAAAGACAAATCTTTCGTCAATTTTATAATTGAACAAAGAATAATAAAAAAAAAAGGAAAGAAAAAACAAGTGAACAAAGTGGAAGCCTAAAAAGATACGTCACAGCATTCTCTCCTTGAGCAACACACCTCTTCAGTCATCTTTCGTATAGTTAGTCAATAATTCCACGACCCTTGCACTTTTCGTTTTGTGGATAAATACGACCTATTTTCACGATACGTGGCAATGAATTTATTTCTAGCATCATGAAAAAAAAAGCCACGTAAAATATAAGAAAAATCAATTGTCACGAAGAAATTCTTACCTAAAATTGCACGTAAATGGCCTTCAAGTGTTGACAATATCGTTGATTTTATTTCATGGACACTCTTTCCGAGAAATTGTTCACTGGCAGTATGCAAAAGTTCATCGGCTTTCATGATTTTGCATTGGGCCACTCCAGTGACGGTCAATGGTACACCTTGGGCAGTCTCGACATTCTCGCAAACTGGATTTAGGGTCATCACTTCGAGGGACAATCGTTGGACATCTGTGACGAACCACCAAGTGAAAACGTAGCCGCCGACAATTGTTCTTTTCTTCATCGATCCACAACATCCTCCTGAAGTACAAAAATCGTAATGATAATTTACAATGTTGTTATAATGACGATGTCATGGAATATCATCAAATTAATAATTGAAATTATTTTAATCTTTTGCATTCCAATAGTAGTGGTACAGAGTTACAATTTATAATATATTTTTAATCTATTATAGTAATTATATATTTATAAATATATAATTATTATTTTAATATTAATATTAATATTAATATTATTACTATTCTTATTAATTGTCAATGAAACAACATCATAATTAAGAAACTTGGTACTTTGACTTCTCACAAAGTATTTCGCTCCCCTTAGTTTTGTGACAAGCGTAAGTAGGTCGTTTTATAGAGAGGCCGTACCGTTCTTCATGGTGAGATCACTAGATCGTGACGTCAAGAACACGACTACCTAAACGTTTGCTAGCGATCGTCTTTCGCTTACGTGAGATATCGCACGTCATACACTTCATCGAACGAAACTTGAACATTTTTCTTCTTACGAATATAAATCAAACACACTTTTGTATTCCAATGACTTTCGAGTATCGTTGCAAGAATAATACTTTCACTGGATATCATATTATAATGTCTCATTAATATTATAATCATAACTATGATGATATTCTCAGTTGTATGAGAATATGCTGTGTTGTCTACGTTGAATAAAAGAAGGATGATATCAAAAGCAATGTTTTTCTTTTGTCAAATTTTAAGAAGTTTTAACAATTGTCCAGATATCATAAACCTTTTCTCTTTCAATGTTTCATCTACAAATCTTAGGAAGCATGTTTTGTTACATACAGAAGTTAATCATACCTCTTATGACTACTTTAACTGTATTAACTTGTTAACCAGGCGGGACGTATAAATACTTCATATATATTAATAAAATATATTTTATAAACAATCCTATCTTTCATGTTGGATGAAACTGCACATAGTGTGCAAAATTTGATTAAAGTCGATTCAGTAGTTTAGGAGTCCATTACGGACAAACAACATGTGACACGTAATTTATATATATTAAGAGAAGAAGATATTATACATATTATTAAATTAATTATTGATATTTGATATTATTTTATATTTATAATTATATTTATATTATTTTGTATTTCTATGATATTTATATCAATAATTAATAATTAATTATACGATATTTTATATTATATTTTATTAAACTATATTATAGATATTTTTTTTTTTTTTTTTTAACAATTAGTCAAATGTATATATTAATTTGTAGAATGAGAATGAAATTATTAGAAAAAAGTATTGGAAAAGGAGAGAGGAGAAAAGGAAAAAAAAATGTTACGGAGAAAGGCAGAGGAGGAAGTCGATGACCGTTATGCGAGAGGCACGTAGCTTCGAAACCCGTTCGCTTCGAAGGTAACCGTATGACTTCGGAATACAATCTCAATGGATCCAGCATGCCGGTAGTGTTCGTAGTAAGGTCATGGTCACTCTTGCTAGTCTGCCTTTAGGCTTCATTCGATCTTCTCTTCTACTAGACTACAACTAGATCCTTCCTTTCGTTTATACTTCGAATTTATATTACAGAATACATATATTAACATAAATAAAGAAAAATTATTATAAAATTAAATACAAAAAAGTTACGAAATAATCTTCATTTATTTTAATTTTATGCTTGTGCCTAAATTTTTTTTTTACTGACATTTCAAATAATAATATCACTCAAAAGTGTGTGCGTGTGTGCGTGCGTACGGTGTGTATCTGTAAAGTGAATGAATTTTTGTAGTGATTAAAACAAAAAAAGGGTTATGCGTTATACCGTGAACAAATTTGTTATTCGAAGGTAAAAGTTTGTAATTTATCGGTGTGGTTCATCGTTCGAGAATAATCTATTATAGTAGTTCGATATTAATAGATCGAGGCAATCTTGGAATTAGAATCGTATAAGTGACGGCACAGAAACCTAGAAAACGATCGACAAAATGAACGGGGAAACCTGTAAAGAACATTGTATTGAAGTATTATAAAGGGAAAACAGAGAATTGCGATTTGATACGAGACAATAACCTCTGTCATCAAAACCTATGTCTTCAAATGAAAAAAGAATTCATTTTTCTTTTCAAGCTTTGTTTTTGTCTTTTTTCTGTGAAATTTCCATTTCAATATATTTAACAATTTAATCTACAGGTAGAATAAAAAAAAAAAAAAACAGTTGTATATATTAAAAAGACTTCGATAACGTTTGACGTTTGCGTGACATATAAAAAAAAATAATCGCAACTTGTGGCATTGACAATTGGCATGTGGCATTAATTACTTAACATTTGAAAGTTTCCTACTCAATTGTTATTCATAATGACATCCGCCATAACATTTCAAGTCAATTGAATGTCTAATGATGATATCCATCATTAGTGTATCGGCTTTCAGTTCTACTAGAACAACGTATCACTCAGGAACTTTGTTTTTTTTTTTTACAAATAATTTCAATTAATTGTAAATTATATATATATATATATATTTATTAAATATTTGTTTGCTTAGAAAAATTTGTATCTTATTTATTAAAAACCAACTCTGTATATTACAGAAATAATCAAAATATAAACTATAATGGGAGTTGAAAGTGCATTCATTGGAGGCTTGTCGACTACAGGCACTGGACTATCATGGTTTTTTTCAGTTTTAACTGCTGCACTACTTTATTTCCATTATGAAGTTTTAGACAACGAGGCACCACCTATTGATGTTCCTGTCGAAGAATTATTAGGATCTTATGACTTTATCGTAGTCGGTGGTGGATCAGCAGGTATCATTAAAATAATTATTATTTTTCACTTATCATTCATTCGAAACAATTATTTTTATCTTATCGAATGATAATACGATTTAGAATAATAATTTGACGTATCATAATATGTGATCTGTATAGAACAATGGTTGCCAAATTTTTTTTTGTCCTATCGCACCCTTTCCAGAAAAAAAATATTTCTTATCGTCCCCCTGAAAATTAATTTTTTTTTTTAGTAACTCAAAAAAGAAAATTTATATTTATATAATATTTATATTTTAAGCTTATTTAGTATATTTTATATGTATAACAAATAATATTTGCGACAAATTGTACATAACAATTGCAAGAAGTCATGATTTGTAGTGGTAATAATTTTTGTCTTGATTCTCACGCTAAAAACAACTTTAGATAATTAATTAATAAAAATAAAAAAGCCCTAAAATATAAAAACTTATAAATAATATTTTCTCTTAATGTATATCCGTTTCAGGTGCTGTTGTAGCGAATCGTCTCAGTGAAATCAATAATTGGAACGTACTACTCTTAGAAGCTGGAGGACAGGAGACAGATATATCGGACGTACCTCTACTTGCTGGCTATCTTCAACTAACTCAACTCGATTGGCAATATAAGACGGAAGCTGAGGGTACTTATTGCTTGGGTAAGTAGTAGTTAACTAGGTCTTCGTATTTCTTTCTTACAACGTAACGTGATTGTATAGAGCCCGTCGAAAGTTTTAATTCGAAGGAGCTAGAAATCTGTCGAGTCTTGCTACATCGAATACCAATGAAAGTATTGCAAATGTTTCAGCAATGGAAAATGGACGTTGTAACTGGCCTCGTGGTAAAGTGATCGGTGGTAGCAGCGTCCTGAACTATATGCTCTATGTTCGTGGCAATAAAAAGGACTATGACATTTGGGAACAACTGGGTAATCCTGGTTGGAATTCGAAAGAAGTACTTTATTATTTCAAAAAATCTGAAGACAACCAGAATCCTTACTTGACTCGTACACCGTATCACTCGACCGGTGGTTATTTGACAATTCAAGAAGCACCTTGGCATACACCGTTGGCGGCTGCTTTCGTTCAAGCTGGTCAAGAGATGGGTTATGAAAATCGTGACATAAATGGTGAACATCAAACAGGTTTCATGATAGCACAGGGTACCATAAGACGTGGCAGTCGATGTTCTTCAGCTAAGGCTTTTCTTCGTCCAGTGAGACTTCGTAAAAACTTACACGTTGCATTAAACTCGCACGTGACCAAAGTACTGATCGATCCTAACTCAAAGAGAACGTATGGCGTAGAATTTGTCAGAGATGACAAGGTTTATCGCATACGCACGAAAAAAGAGGTTATTATGTCCAGTGGAAGCATCAATTCGGCTCAGCTTTTAATGTTGTCAGGTTTGGGACCAAGAAAACACTTGGTCGAACATGGTATACCTGTTATACAAGACCTAAAGGTAGGTTACAACTTACAAGATCATGTTGGCTTAGGTGGTCTCGCTTTCACGGTAAACAAGGAAATTTCTATGGTTGAGAAGAGACTTCATAATGTACAAGCTGTTATGAAATATGCACTCTTAGGTGATGGTCCTTTGACTGTTCTTGGCGGTGTTGAAGGTTTAGCCTTCATTAACACAAAATACGCCAATGCCACGGAAGATTTTCCAGATATTGAGTTTCATTTCGCATCAGGTTCAATAAATTCTGATGGCGGTAGGCAGCTACGAAAGATCGATGGCATCAAGAAGAATTTTTACAATGAAGTTTTCAGTCCAATCAACGAAAAAGATGTTTGGAGCGTACTTCCTATGCTTTTAAGACCTAAAAGTAAAGGTATTATCAAGTTACGCAGTAATAATCCCTTTGATAAACCGATGATCTATGCTAACTATTTCAAAGAACCTGAAGATATGGCAACACTTGTTGAAGGCGTCAAGATCGCTATTGCACTTAGTAAAACTCGATCTTTTAAAAGATTCGGCAGTGAACTTTTTATGAGACCATTTCCAAATTGTAAACATATACCACAGTACACTGATTTACATTGGGAATGCATGATCAGGTATTATACACATACAGTTTATCATCCTGTTGGTACTTGTAAAATGGGACCCTATTGGGATCCAGATGCAGTTGTCGATCATCAGCTTCGAGTTTATGGAGTAAGTGGTCTTCGTGTTATAGACGCTTCTATCATGCCTAACATTGTCAGCGGTAATACTAATGCTCCAGTGATAATGATCGCTGAGAAAGGTTCTGACATGATTAAGCAGCACTGGTTAAAGAAAAAGAATGGAGGCTAAAAAGCACGTGCACAAATTTATTATAGGAGAATACGATTCTAGAAAAAAAAAAATGATGTCTAAACAATATTTTTTAAATACGTGAAAATTACAAATGATATGTGCCCATAATTATGAATGTGGTCTTAGTCAAAATTAAAAAAAAAGTATATATGAGTTTATCACAGTTATTTCATGCAACATTATTTTCAAGTAAATACATTCAATGTAATTTTTTACGATATTGTTAAAAACAATCGTTAGATAATATTTGTTATTTTAATATTAAATAAAATATATGATAGTGTTGAAATGTAATTTTTTAAATATCTTTAAACAAGATTTATATATGACTTTCATAATTATGGGTACATATATTATATTAAACATTTAATAAATTTGAATTATTTATGTAATAATTATTTATCAGACAACATCATTTAAAATACCAAAATACTATAAAATAGTGTTTTTCTGTAAAATATTATGAACTTTATATGATGTTTTTAGTATAATAAGTATAGTAACATAAAGTGTAATTTATGTATATTATCATTATTCTTAAGAACATCAACATAATATCATATTCAGATACGTCATTTGATGACATATTTGAATAAAATGAATGACTGTAAACAATATGTAAAAAGATAGGATAATATAAAAAAGAATTATAATATTAAGTATGAAATTGTCAACATTCTGCATCCTTATAGAATTGATTATAAATTATAAGATTAATACGACGAATAAAGAAAATATTATAATTAATTAATGTTTCTTATTATGTATCTACTTCAAAATATACACTTTTCTTTTTGTTCATGTATCCACAAAGAAAA